ATTGTGTTCATTATATATTTTTGCACATGCAGTGAGATTGGAGAGCCACATGGAAGATCCTCTCAAGAAAAACAGGAAATGAGAGAATTAAATGTATAATAAATTGTATAGGACACTTTTCCATTTGACACTACAGTAGTGATTGAAAATGTAATACAAATTCTTTTTGTAGATTTTCTTTCTCGTTATTGTGGAATTAAAGTATGGATGACGAATATATTGTTCACTAATTTTGATGATTTTAGTTACATAGGATGTAGATGATTTAAAGATTTATAGTGGCAAAATGTTGGGATATGAGGTGTGGGTCTAGGGACATTCTGAATGTCACAAACATTGTCTCCAATCTTGTTAGAATTTAAATGTGGTGCTTGTAATTAGGGAGAAATTTCATGGTTGCCCCAAAATCTAATTGGAAAAAATTTCGAATGAATTCCAATTGTGGCCTCAAGTCCTTACCCATTTTGGATTCCGTATCATGTTAATTACAAAGTTGTACCCAAACTATCTGAAATATACTGCAACATATTAATAGATAATTCATCATTATGAAGAACCCTATTAATTTTCAACAATAATATTCAATGTAACTTATAAATAATGTATACAGAAACCTATCAATTAAATATTAAGAGTCTTCCTCAAGGAATATATATACATACAAGATTTTGATCATGAGACTTATGATTAATACATATTCCAACCATGTTTCCTCCAAATCACATGCTTCAAATTTATCACATGATTGTCCATCCAAACTGAGTAGACAAAACTTGTTAAGAAAAATATTTTTTTTCCGTACAAAAAAGTTTAACAACCCTCAATTAATCAATTGTGGGGAGAAAAGTAAATATTTTTTTTCTCTAGTACAATGAATGTATATAAATTTTGGGTTAAACAAGATTGAAAGTCTAAGATTTTGTTTAATAAACTATTTCACTTTCTGCTAAAGTGGGTTTAAACTCAGATTATGTCCAAATAAATAATTACTTCCAATGGGGGGGGGTAAAATTATATATCAATACTACATGTAAACAAGTTGCAGAGATGTTTGGTGATGGCCACAACCATTATTATGTCAATGCGTGGGTTGATGCTTTTTATAGTACATTCTTGTTGCCTTTCTCGTTTGATTCCTATGCTAAAGTGCACCCTTCACGTGACCAAAAAAATGTACGACATCAACATTTTTTTGGTTTTCCATTTACATTTCAATTATTTATTTGTTGAGACAAATCTTCATATTGTTTGAAAGAAATGTAAAATTGACACATACTAAAAAACAAATGTAATTACTTAGTCCTTGAAAATGCCGGGTCCAACTGAAATTGCAGGAGTTTCACCAAATTGGGATGTGTAAATTTCAAATATTAAATAAATAAATTGATAAAAACACCATGCAATAATCTTTCACCTTGATTCAAATACTAGTCTCTAAATTAAACACAAGTCTTATGTAAAAAATATTTACAATCTAAATGTTTTAACTAATCAATAGAGTTATACATGATATTTTAATTTTATAATATTGTTTATAAAAAGTGAAATCTCACTTTTTTTTTTTTTTAAAAGAAATTCATTTTATTGGAAGATAAAATATAAAAAAATTTTATTTAATAAAAAATAGATTGTGATATATAACAATTCACAACTTATATATAGGGAACGATAGACTCGTATCGTATATTTATGATTATCTGATCGTTTATTTATCATTGCAATTTAATTCTTTATTATTTTATTTTAATTTTTTATAACTATTAATTAATAATTTTATTCATACCCGTCATAAAATAAATTTAAATTATTTTTCCAACACCTTTATCATTTATTGTAATAATTGATGAACTTTAACTAACTAAAGAGAATAACGAATTGTTTGTTGATTAGGTAGTAAGTACTTCTATTTTTTTCACTATAATATAATTTCAAGTTTATGAACTAAATTTCATCAATGATTAAAAATAAATAGTAAAGATACATCACCCATATTATTTAATATATATATATATATATGTAGGAATGTATGTATAGAGTAAATCACCATATATATATATATATATACTATAGAAGTTGGTGACTTTTGTCTGCTGGTCAATTGTTTTGGTAAGTAGGCCGCTTGATTTGATAGTGGATTTCTTTTTAGGGATAAAACCGAATTAAGAGTCCAACTTCTCTCAGAAGATACCAGACACTGCAGAGAATCAATAATGAACCTTTACAATCTTGCGTATTAAAATTTTCTAATTGCTAATCACATTTTTTACCAGGTGGTTAAAAAATGTATATGTATATATATATATATATTAAGCTTCATAATATATATATATATATATACACTAGTAGAACCCACAAAATTAAGCTCATAAAGTGCCACTTGAATCAAAGACCGATGTCTGCTACAAGATTTGTAATTAGTTTATTTTTACTAAATTTTGATTATTAATTGGTAGCAAAAATTTACAAAATATAAAGCTTTCATGTGACTGCGGTCGTCTTTGTTTTGGCTCAGTAGATCCCATTAATAAAAAAGAAAGTGACTAATCACCATTCCAGAAAATTGGACCACTTAGGCACATGAATTATATACTTGTATACAATGTGTATATATATGTGGTTGTTGTTTGTAAATAATTAAATTAACAAATCATAATTTTAATGGAATTTTAATTAAATAAATAATGAAATGTGATCTGCTGGTGAAAATTTAATCATTTGCGACCCAATTTTATCTTCTTTGTTTAAATTTATAGGGAATATTTGTAAGTATAAATTTGTGATTTATGGTATTAATGTATGATACGCCATTTGTACCTCATTTCACCACAAACCCATTCGGTGGTCGTTAATTGTTGTTGTAAAAAAGTGGGTCCCCGTCCTAATACCTTTTTAGGTTTCTTCTTGAAGTGAATTTTTTTTTTTTTAAAAAAAAAAAATTATTATTATTATTATTTTGCAAATTCCCATTTCAATATTTGTCGTTTGCCCACCAACACAAATGTTGTGGGGATCTATTCAAGTGAACTGATGGAGGTGGACCAATTCAATTAATGGAGATGGACATCAACAATATGCAAATATATATATATATATATATAAATGTTAAATATTTAATTGTAATAGTAATTTTATACTACCTGCATTATTTGATTCTTAACGAAATAATATTAGGAACATCTAAAAATAGGTTTATAATCTTTTTTAACTTATATGTAATAATTTATTCATTCCTTCATTCATTTCTCACCATTAAATAACTAAGATAAAATTGGATCTCAATGTATGTCATAATGGATTTAGGTTTTTTTTTTTTTTTAATTTTACATAAATTTTCCACACCAAAATTCTTTTAATAATAAAATCTTAACCATTTAAGATTTAAGCTAAATACATTTTCACCTTATGATTTTGTAATTTCAATTCATAAGTATTTAACTATTTAAATCACAAACTAAGAGTAAACAATTTTATCTAAATTGGAATTACAAGATGATGAATTAAAAAAATAATAAATTTCTTTTACTTTTACCATAAGTTTTTTTTTTAAAAAAAGTAATTTAAAAAAATACATTTATATGATAACCGTTAACTCTCGAATGAATAAAATATAAAATTTATTTATTTATTTAAAAAGTGAACTAGATAATAAATTTTTCTAATTTATGACATATAATTTAAGTGTCTTCTTAAATTTCAAGAACTACTTTCGAATTTTAAATGAGTAAATCACATAACTAAAGTACTAGCTAATGATATCTTGAAGCTTTAGTGTAGGCACTAAATTTTGGAAGAAAGAAATTAAGGAGTATGAGAAGAAGCGATGTTGGAACAATTTTAACAATTAAAACTCTATTCATTAAGGAAAAAAAACTAATTTATAAAATAATTTTTTATTAAAAATTAGAATTAATAACAGTTTAGAAGTAAATCGAACTAGATCAAAGATCTATTAAGGATGAAAGTTTGAAACAAAGAGCGGATCGTTTTAATTTCAGTATCAATCGTACCGGTAATATAATAAATTAAAATATTTTAATTTATTATTTTAAAAATAAAAAAAATAAAACTAAAAGTAAAATTGAATTATATCTCTTTTTTTAAAAAAAAAAAAATTTTGTTCAAATTAATCCATTATTGTTTGGATTGGATTGGGAATGAAATTAATCAATTTTTTTGTTGTTAAAGTGTATGTACTGAGAATTGAACTAAATATTATTTAATTCTTATCCAAATTGAAAAATATATATATATTTTAAAAAAAAAAAAAACAAAAGGTATATATATTTTTCTCCACCTTAACCAAACCTAACTTGGTGCAGAGGATTATTACTTTGCTTTTGGGAATTCTTTCTCATGCTTCACGAACTCCCTCCCTCCGTTGTGGAGATGCTCTTCCCCCTTCTTAAAGAGGAAACCACATACTGACATGTACAGGGGAGTGCGGACAGAAAATCTCATCTCATCTCACCACACTTCTTCTTTTGTTCTCGCTTTTCTTAATCTAATCCAACTTTAACTCTGCATATATAATCTTATCTACCTTCATTAATTAGTCATATAAATACTAAAATTTAAACATTAATTTGATTAATTATCTGAATTTTCTTTCAGCATTTCTATCCGTTATAAAAGATTTAGGGGGTGAAAAACGTCCCTTTAAGAAGGTGGCTGACCACCATAGTTTTTTTTATTGAACTATTTAATATTTAGTTAATGAAATAGTATACGAATTATTGGAATAATAATTTTGGCATGTTTTTTCGTTTTTACCGACTGTGAGTTTACTGGTAAATAATTTTTTTAATTAATTTTCAATTACGGACTCTCCGAATCGCTAACAAATCAATGCAACGGTCAGTAGCTAACCGTTAAAGTTAATAAGGCCGTTTCACATCCGTTTTATTTTAGCGAGCGAAGACCACCCATGTGGGCTACTGCCCTCTTACTGTAACCTCTTAAACCAACGCGTGAATCACAGCGCTAAAGCTGCACCCGAGCAACAATCTTAACACACCTGCAATCATTCACTCTCTCCCCGTTCAAAGTTCACGTGTCACCGTCACTTACCTCTCCTTCCAGTAGCTTCTTCCGTTAATCTTTTTAAATTTCTTTCATAAACATTTTTTGAATAAATATTTTTGGTAATTTAAGAAATTAGTTCTAGCCATGGACCCACCCCCCACATCCCTAGACAATAACCCGCCTCATTTTGATGTCGCGACGTGTAAAGCGCAATAACACGTGTCAGTCTACGAGACTTTCTCTCTCCCACGTGTGGCTCCCGTTGCATGTGGTTCAGCGGGGCACCGTGTCGGAAATGAACTCTGTGCGCTGCAATTTTTCCCAGAGGAAGGATTAACTTCTGGCACTCTCCCATGCCGTACGTGGCATTGAATTTTGACGAAAATGCCCCTATCTACTTCTTAATCAAATTCTTAATTACGAGATTAATATCGATTTATCCTCTAATTTTTTCTGTTTAAGAAAACTTAGGCTCTATTACCGGCTAATTTTGCCAATAAAATATTAAAAACGATATATACATTGCCATCCTTTTTTCAGTGCTCTCTCTCCCTTATAATTGTGCATCGTTTTTGCATGGCCACGCTTCACTGGAGGCCAAACGCCAAATGATCGTAGCCTTCAAGGAGCCACAACCATTCACGCCCTGCCACGTGTGTGTCATCACAGCACATTTCTCTATATATGCACTCCATCGGTGCCGATCTATAGAGCACGAGGGTTGAGACTTTGCCAGAGAAGAGAGAGCTAGAGAAGCCGAGAAAACCCATTTCTCTTCCTTTGTCTTCTGAAGCTGTTGTTTGCTTAATTTCTTGTCCCCATTCGCTCTTTTCTTCTTGATCCCTGCCGATTTTCTGTCATTTTCTCGTATAAAGCAACAATGTTCATCGAGAGCTTTAAGGTTGAGAGTCCTAATGTTAATTACTCAGAGAATGAGATTCACTCTGTGTACGATTACGAGACCACTGAGCTTGTTCATGAGAACAGGAATGGCACTTATCAGTGGATTGTCAAGCCAAAGACTGTCAAATACGAATTCAAGACCGATACCCGTGTCCCTAAACTAGGGTTTGCACCGAATGCCATTTCCTTTTTGTTCCTTTCACGAAAAACAACAATTGTTCTCCATTAATTCGATTGAATACCCGTGTTGGTCGAATTCACAATTTTGATTTTTAATTAATTTTTCTGTTAATTTGGTAGGGTTATGCTTGTTGGCTGGGGAGGGAACAACGGCTCAACCCTCACTGCTGGTGTCATTGCCAACCGAGAGTGAGTTTATTCTTTTTTCGCAATTTTTTTTTTTTTTTTTTTTTTTTTTTTGCGTGTATGAAATTGGATTTTTGTTGTCAATATTTTTCCCCTTTCTCTCTGCCTTTTGTTGAAGTGCCTCGTTAATAATTTTATATAGGCATCTGCTAGCATATATGTATATATTATTGTATTGAGTTTTAAGATTATGGGGGTCTGAGTGAATCATTGAATTTTCTCAGAGGGATCTCTTGGGCTACTAAGGACAAGGTGCAACAAGCCAATTATTTTGGGTCCCTCACTCAAGCATCATCAATCCGAGTTGGATCCTTCAATGGGGAGGAGATTTATGCGCCATTCAAGAGTCTTCTCCCTATGGTAATTCAATTTAATGCTATTAATTGTTGTAGTTAACATTTTCCTCTTTAGATTAAGTAATGAAGCTTAATTAAAGATAGTTAAACTGTTGGTTAAATCATACAGGTCAACCCAGATTACATTGTGTTTGGTGGATGGGACATAAGTGACATGAACTTGGCAGATTCCATGGCCAGGGCCAAGGTCTTGGACATTGATTTGCAGAAGCAACTGAGGCCCTACATGGAAGAGATGGTCCCACTCCCAGGTATCTATGATCCTGATTTCATAGCTGCCAATCAAGGGTCACGTGCCAACAACGTGATCAAGGGGACAAAGAAAGAGCAAGTTCAACAGATTATCAAGGATATAAGGTAAAAAAGGAACAAAAAGATTTATTCTTGGTGGAATTTGAAATTAAAGGGTTTATTGTATTTTGCTCTTTCATAAGAAATGAATTTAATGTGATGTATGTTGTTGCTTACACCATCAATTAGGGAATTTAAGGAGAAGAACAAGGTGGACAAGATTGTTGTTTTGTGGACTGCTAACACAGAGAGGTATAGCAATGTGATTGGCGGGCTAAATGACACCATGGAAAACCTCATGGCTTCTCTGGACAAAAATGAAGCGGAGATCTCTCCTTCCACTTTGTATGCTATAGCTTGCGTCCTTGAAAATGTTCCGTTTATTAATGGAAGCCCACAGAACACCTTTGTTCCAGGTTCTTAAGCTAATAATATTACTTACTTACGGCATTTTAACTGTCAAATGCTATGCATTTAAACTGTTAGATCTCTCCATGACATATACCTTCTTTGTTAACCTGTTACTTGCCAGGGCTAATTGAGTTGGCTATTAAGAGGAACAGTTTGATTGGTGGGGATGATTTCAAGAGCGGTCAGACAAAGATGAAGTCTGTGTTGGTGGATTTCCTTGTTGGGGCTGGTATCAAGGTACATATTTGAACTATTGAATATGTAGTGGAGAAGAATGAACCTTTGATAAAGATGTTGTCATTATGTGTTGCAATCTTTTTCAATCATGATGATGTTATACTGATGATGACCATGACGATGATGCACAGCCAACATCGATCGTGAGCTACAACCATCTCGGGAACAATGATGGCATGAATCTCTCTGCTCCTCAAACCTTCCGCTCCAAGGAGATCTCCAAAAGCAACGTTGTTGATGACATGGTCGCCAGCAATGGCATCCTCTATGAACCTGGTGAACATCCTGACCACGTAGTGGTCATTAAGGTAATTGAACTTTTCGTTGTCAAATGAGCTTTATATCTGTTTGTTTTGAAAGCTTTATCAGAAATCTTATGAGAAACTACTGTACATATTTGTTGATCTGACATTTCGGTGTGTTGGCTATTCAATTTGTGTGATGTAGTATGTACCATATGTGGGGGATAGCAAGAGGGCCATGGATGAGTACACGTCTGAGATTTTCATGGGTGGCAAGAACACTATTGTGCTGCACAACACTTGCGAGGACTCCCTTTTGGCGGCTCCAATCATCCTAGATTTAGTCCTTCTTGCCGAGCTGAGTACTAGGATCCAGCTCAAAGCTGAAGATGAGGTATGAGTTATTTTCCACCACTCCCTCATCCCCCCGGATTGCTTAAGATAACTATGATTTGAGGACTGCTGACTAATCTGGAGAACATTTTACAGGGCAAGTTCCATTCTTTCCACCCTGTGGCTACCATTCTCAGCTATCTCACTAAGGCTCCTCTTGTAAGTTCAAAAAGATAAATCTTATGGTCATGTGTTAAGAATATAGTGGAAACAATAGATTGAGTCCTTGTTTGCTGTTTATGAACATTGACTTGGTTATATTATTCTTGACGGCATTAGAGATTCTGGCCCTTTTTGGTTAAAAGCTCATATTTATTCATTTCATTACATGCGCGCCTTATGTAGCCTTCCTGTTTCTGTGGGGGGTATACGTGCAAATGTAGTGGAAGTAATGGATTGAGTTCTTTTCTATGAACTTAGGCTTTTAGAAGAACTGGTTAAGCCTCTATTTGATCTGTGAGTAATGTGAATGATGAGAAATTTGTTGATGTGATGAAAACAGGTTCCACCAGGGACACCAGTGGTGAATGCGCTATCAAAGCAGCGTGCCATGCTTGAGAACATATTGAGGGCCTGCGTTGGGTTGGCTCCTGAGAACAACATGATCTTGGAATACAAGTGAACCCAGAGAAGGTTAGTGGAAGAAGCTGACTAGTACCTCCTCTCTTTCATTTTTCCTCTTTCCCAAAAAAGAAAATTGAAGAATGTATGTTGAGAAATTTTACAGATTGTGGTGTCTGTGAAATTGTTTACCCCACCAAAAAAAAAAAAAAAAAAAAAAAAAAGAAAAAAGAAATTGTCGCTAGGAAGCATTCTGTGGTTTTCTTTTTGGAGGTAAGTAATGTGTAAGCAGTTTGCTGTAAAAAAGCTGGCCGTGGAGCAAAGCACAACACCCTCTTTTGTATTTGGAAATACATGATGTTTATGTAATGGGATGTTTATCTTTTGTAATTAAATTCTGTCGGTAAAATTAAATTAATCTTGTCATTCTCTGCAATAGAATAATATATTTTTCTTAAACAAACATAACAATAAATATTAAAGACATTGAATTTGCATAATGTTTTTGTGAAAGATTACAGGAGTAGTGAAGTAGGAAAATGTATTTAATGTCATATGACATTTAAATATATATATATATATATTAATTTAAATTAGTTTTGTAAATTTTAAAAATAAATAAATAAATCAACCAACAATAATTTGGTGAAAGAATTTTGAAAACCTTTCTGCAATTTGAACGTATTTTTTTTTTCTAAAAAAAATCATATAATATAAAAATTTGACACCAAAAAGTCATTTCCTTTTACTTATATATATATTTTTGAAGTGTTTGTTTTTGTAAAGTGGGTGAACGAATGTAATTTTTGGGTGTAACATTAAATGTCAACAGGAAATGACATGATTTGCTTCCGCTAAATGCAGAGTTTTCAGTTTTAGTTCTTCAAATTTAGTTAATTAATTATTGGTATCTCATTCAGGTTTTTGTTCATTTCTAAGATTTTTGTATATTTTCATTCAGTATTTCTCACATGGGTTAAAACTAAAAATGAGGAAATTACCAAAACATGAGCATTTGCAAAGGACATCAGAGATCGGTTTAAGAAAAATTTATATAATTATTTGAAAATGTCAGTTAAGTTTCTTATTATTCAACTTACACAAACTAATTAATTAATAAAAAAAAAAATCACATATTAATAAATCAAACATAATATCTAAATTAAGAATCTATATATATATATATATACATACATACATTTTTAATTTTTATATTCATATAATTATTTCAAAATATCATACAACATTTAACATGATGATTAAATTAAAAAAAATATGAACATGACATTTAAGTTAATTGTATTACTAATTAACAACAAAGATGATTAAATTTTTTAAAAAAATATATATATATATACACATAAAATAGGAATCAAAATTAATAATTTAGCACGTTCTGAAATCCAATGAAAATATAAAGAAGGGGGTGGTCCAGATTTGGTCAGTAACACTCTGCACCTTCCCACAAAATGCTGTCCACAACTTTACCCATCAACCATCACTAACTTCCTTGTTATAGGATTGGACATCTTTTCTTTCAAATGATTAAAAAAGAATGTCTACTCCAAACTAAACAAGAAAAACCCGACATTTTGTGTAATTTATGATAATTAATTTACTGTTAATTTATATTTTACTGTCCATTAAGGAATGTTTTCAATGAATTCTAAACAGATTCAATGAGGGGATGTAGCTCAGATGGTAGAGCGCTCGCTTAGCATGCGAGAGGCACGGGGATCGATACCCCGCATCTCCATCATTTTTGTTTTCCCAACAAAAGTTGTTGAATAATACTTTTTTTAAACCCGATTTAAAATATTAAGATGAACACGACGTAATACATATATATATATATATTACATGTTGTAAATTGAAGAAGAGCAGCCCCTTGAAAGATCGTACAAGGTGAATGACTCAAGACCTTGGAATCTCCACCCTATTTACTTATTAATTAATTGAATATTAAAAGTATTTGATGATGACAGAAGATTAAAAGAAAATGAAACTAAAATTAATTAAAAAAATCAAGTACCTCTTAAAGTTAGAAACTTAATAATTCATAGTGGTTAGGGTTTTGCCAAATCCTAGGCGGGAGGCATGGGGGATGTGATGACACCCAAAATCCCAACTGGACTTGGAATTTTCAAAAAAAAAAAAAAAAAAAAAAAAAATTAAATTTTCTTAATTTTTAATTAAATATACTTAATTGCCTTAATTAGCGAGAATTGAATTTTCTTTGTTTTTGCGCTTGCATTATTGGGCAGCCCAGTGGGCCCTTGACTCGAGTAGAAAACTCGCATGAAATCCTCAAGCCTTTAGGTTTAAGATTTAGTTTCATTATATAAAAGAAGCTGGCAGTGAAATTATTAATTAATATTTATAACAATCTTTGGACTATGATATGTTATTTTATATATTCAAATTATCAACTGATTTAATTGGTTGATTAATTATACGAAAATTGAAAGTTACACCAAAGTTGAATAGGTCTTTTGGGCTTAACAAAATGAGTCTATATATATATATATATTTGTTTTCATTTTCTTGTTTTTACATTTGCATTAGTATTATTTTTACTTTTTTTTTTTTTAATAACCAGTCCTGATAATATTTAAATAATATGTTAGTCTAAAATATTTGACCTTTAACTGAGTCTTTGGTGACGGGCTAGAGACACCTGAAATTAAAAATTAAAATATATTAATTAACCCATATGTATAAATAATGGAAGACGGACCCAGATGAAGATTTATAAAAGATGTAATGACAGAGAAATTTTATATTTACTTATGATTTAAAAAACATTATAATGTAAATTTTTTTTATATTGACTATAATTTGTTAATTTTTTATATGCATATATATATATATATATATATATTTATCAGATGGGTATTAATTAAACTTAGCAACCAAGTCTATTTAATTATATATGTATGCGTATCATCTGGTTTATATGGTCTAAATTAATCAAACCCAAATGAGACGGATTAAGATTTATTTATTTGCAAAATCAAATGCATTTATGCGAGAGAGTAGTTATCTTTGGAGAAAATTATTTTCACAAAACAATATAATTATTTTCAAATAATATTTTTACTCACATTTTTAATGGAAGAAAAATATAAATTTATATTCAAAATATATATATATATATAAATTTATAATTGAAATAAATAAAATTTACCAAAAAATATGGTGTTCACTTTTAAACTTAAGTTTTATTCACATTCCGCTCACAAAGAAAATGACTTTTTTGTTCACATATTTTCAAATATTGATAAATATAAATTTGTAAAAATAGCATTAAACGACATGCGATTATATTTTGGAACAAACAAATTTCACGAAATTCATTTCTCAAATTTTTAATTAATTTTTTTTTATAAAAAATAATATAACTACAAATAACTAACATATGTTATTCATAACGAATTAAAGTTTGATTTATTATTTTTTATTTAAAAAAAAAACTAATATATTAATGTACTAGAAATCTTGGTATGATAAAAGAATTGGTTTAAGAAAAAAGCTCACACACTATTAATTAATAATTGATGATAATTAAAACTTGAATATTCCAAATAAAGATTGGAGATTCTCCTTCAAAAAAAAAAAAAAAAGGAATCAGAATATTAAATTACTCAACAAATAAAAATTAAAAGTGAAACAATTAATGGGTGGGTGATGAAAAATTAAACACAAATAAATGGTGGGTCCCTGGCCCTAAGGTAAGGGTTATACATATATATATATATATATATAAAGGAGAGGGACTTTATGTAAACGTCGTGGGGCCCAAAAGCAACCCACCAACTCATTTTATAAACACTCCAAATGAATCTCTTTCGGTTTTTAATTAGAGAAACGACAATTTCTGGCTTCCACATTTCTCCCTCTCCCCTTGTTATTCTATAAATTAATTTAACTTTGGAATCAAACATGAAGATGAATATTTGTATTTTTTTTTGTGAGGCCAACACATTTAAGGAAATCAAGAGCAATTTGGTTATTTAAATTCATAATTATTATTATTGTTATCTTTTAAAATATTGAAAACTTCATATAAATACACTTGAATTACACATAAGCATTACCCATTTCCTACGCCTAGTATGTCTTTTTTGAATTGATGACAAACCAAAAAATAAAAAAATAAAAAGAAAAAGAAAGAAAAATAACAAAAACAAAATTGGATTTTATATTAATTTGAAGTCTTAGAGCATTTAAGAGAAATTATGAATGTGAAAGAAAATAAATAGAAGCTTGAAAATTGAACATCCAATGGCTATATTTTTCAAAGATGTATGAATTTCACTTCTTCCACTTATTTTTTACGGTGGTGGGGAGGGGGGGAAAAGAAAAAGTCCAAACTTGAAATCACATCTTGCTCTAAGAAGAGTTATGAGAAATAGTGGAGAAAATATTAAAAGAAGTTGATTGAACATGGGATACAAGCATGAAAATTATGTAGTCATGAACTAAAAGTTCAAATGAAAAAAGATATATAAAATTAAAAGATGAAATATATATTATTAAAAAAAAAAAAGAAAAAAGAAAAGAAATAAACCATGGTTAGAGATATATACGGGAGAGGATTATAAAGAGAAAATTAAAATTTCTTATATTGGAATTAAATTGATTATAATTTTACTTTGGGAGTAACATCAAATATAAACTTTAAATGGTGGGTGTCATCCGAGTTTGAGTGACATCAGAATTAGTGTGGAGGTAATTATTTTGTTGGGAGGACCACCTTTTTCTTTTAGGTTTATTGCTTTCATTTTTTTATTTTTTTTTTGTGTGTGTAAAAAGCATTCCCCACCCTCGTTACTCACTAAATGAATCTTTACTTTTTGTTAGGAATTAACTCGGCAAAACTTTACTTTTAAAAATATCTGTTAATGTACTAATTAATAAAAAAAATATCTTTTTATTCTACCCAAAAAAAAAAATATATATATAAATAAACTTAAATTTAAATTTGTCTTTTAAAGTTAAAAAAATTATTCATAAATGATAAAGAGGTCAATATTAAAATTATTTTTATCAAAATTAATGTTTAATAAAAAATAAAATATTGATACCGTATAGTATAAAATAAATCATTGCAATTAATCATTTTTAAATAGTTGAATTCACTGAAATAATTTATTTAATTATTTATATTCTAATATATATATATATATATATATATTTAATGGGATGGTTAAACAAGTTGTTGCCCATTCTGTAGTCCTAATCAAAACGTCGTCACTTTGATAAAGCAGTGTCATCCCTCAATACATCCGGATACGATGAGTTGTGTCAACAATCCAACTCCAATTTCATATACACAAAAAAGTGTCCGACGCCCCCACTCCCTCTTGCTCCTTGTCGTCATCCTTCACATAAAAGTATACATATACATACATGTGTATTTACTCATGTATTTATTAATACATATATATACATATGTGAAGTTAAGGATATATATTTACCTACACACATATATGAGTTGAAACAGCAAAACCCATCCCATTAATTATAAATTTTACATGGTAAATATATACATAGTGTATGAATTAACACATCAATAATTAAGATTTAGCAAAAAAAGAAGAAATGCACGGTGTATATATATATATATATATATATATATAGAGAGAGAGAGAGAGAGATCGACCACAAGCCCAATTAGATTTCTTCTTTTGTACCCCAATATCGGCATCATCATCATCCAATACATAAACTGCACTGCACCCACTAGATTTTACAATATATATATATATATATATTTTTGTACAGTTTTCCAATTTATACAATATTATCATTAATAAGAAAATTAATAACAATAATATTGTTTTGATTATCATGGCTTAATTATGGATTGTGCAGAAGATATTAGTTTATTTTTTTTGATGGGGGCATGAAAGAAAATATTGAAGACAAAACGCCCTCTTCTCTCTGTGCTGTCTCTCTTCCGACCCATGTATTAATGAACGAACTCCTTCCCCTCCCTCCTCCTCCTCCTCCTCAGGTTGGGGAAGATGCGCCGTGGTGGCGGTGGTACTCGTGATTTTCCGATCTAGTTGACGATACGACACCGTATTTCTCTTTTCTCTCGTCTTGCTTCATCTGTTCCTCCCTGCACTCTAAGCTACAAAATGCTGTATCCCCCCTGTAATTATTTCATTATTATTTCCACAATTAGTATCAGAAGTTAATCTAATTAATTAACTCAATTAATCTTTTTAATTAAAAAAATATATATAACATATTATATATACACGCACACACGGAGCTATCCCCTCTACATATACAAAATCTCCTCCGTAACTCCGACCTGTAAAAAAGTGAACTGAACCCTTCTGTATATATTTTATATAAAAATCATATATGTATATATAAAGAGCTTTTTTTTTTTAAACAAGAAGAACCATCAAAATTGAGAATAATTTTTAACTAGATAATACTACGAACTAAGAGTACTATTCCAGTGTAATTAGTATAATATATATAGATGCTCCTGTATTAGATAGATATACATGAATATACATAAACATAGATGTTGTGTGTGTGTGTGTGTGTGTGTGTGTGTGTGTGCGCGCGTGTGAACGTATTACCTATACATGTATATGTCACGACCAGCAGCCAAGCGGCGCTTACAAAGGCCACAGGTCCTCAAAAAATCGGCAGTCTCCATGAAATCACGAGAGTTAGTCCTCCTCTGGTTTCTCGGCGACACCATAGCCAGGAACCGCCGATCGTACGCCGCCGAGTTCATCAGCATGTTCTGATCACGTAAAGCAGTGCTGATGGCCACTGCCGAGGACTCCTCTGCTCCTCCAGTGGCTGCCGCAACATGGTGGACGTTCTGCTCATCGAACGGCTCAGACGCCTCCACTCCCGATACATCGACGGTGATCCCCGTCATGCTCGTTGTCCTCCTCATCGGAGGTCGTGGCCTCTTGCCCAGTAACATCAAGTAAATAAAAATTGGTTCAATTGACTTTTGTTTTCTTCGGCAAATCAGAAGACAGTGTGTGAGTGAGGGAGAGAACAGGAGGGTAGAGGAGGAGAAGAAGAAGAAGAAGAAGAAGATAAACGAAATGGGAGAAATGTGAGAGAGAATCTGGGCCGTTGCTTGCGGGCACCGGTTCCCCATATATGCTCTTCTATTTAAATTTAATTAATTTTATTTTATATAAAAATAATCTTACGTGAGATTTTATTTTTATTTTATTTTTATTTTTACTTTTTTATCTTATAAATATTATGATACTAATTAGATTCTTGAAGAATTAAAACTATTATATATGTATATGCGCGCGAGCGGAGCCCTAGGGTATAATTAGATTCAGATACCGGTCTTATGGGTGCGCTTACGTGTGCAGGTTAATTTACATTTATTTAAGGTAATTAATTGATTAATTAATTAGTACTTGAAGACCCTCTCTTCAAGTACACCAATAATACTTACTTTCGGTTGACAAGTAAATTTTCTTTTTATTTTTATTATTATGTTTGATTTTTGTCCCTAATATTGTTAAATTAAAATTTAAATATATTTATTTAATATAAAAATTATATTATGATTATTATTTAATTAATAAATATTTAGATTTTTATTAAAACAATTGATATATTTAATTTAAAAACTATTTCTATCTTTTATCTATATATTATACTTTTTTTTTTTTTTTATAAAATTTGAAATGCCTTATATACTTGAAAATCACCTGATAATAGAATACAAAAATATCACATTTTTTGGTACAACTCATTATATGAATTAATTGTCAAATGTATTAAACGGGATATAAAGTATGTGCATGTGAATTGAAGAAGTTTACTTTTAACATAATTAAACATAAAATTGGCTCATCAAAGAAACGTAGTATATATCTTAAAAATGAAATTA